TTGATAGACAACCCTCAATTAAACCCAATAAGACAAAGAGTCAGCCTTGCTGTCAATTGGTCGTGGCTACCAGGGACCACGATTGGCTGTATTCTTTGAAAAATTTCATCAGCAATTTTACTCAATGTCGGCAGGATCCTTGGTACTGAGGAATAACTGGTTGTTTTGCATACGTTAAGGAGTTCAAGACAAGCCCGAAACTGTTAGTTTTTCAATGTGGTATTGCAGGAAAAAATAGCGAATCCATCCATGAAGGAATGAGAAGACTCAATTTTGCATTGAAAATCACTACGCTGTGCATCTCCATTGGAAGTTGTGCCTCTTTCAAGAGAAACTAAAATATCAATATCGTTTCGGTCTCACATGGATTCGAGCCATGGATGTGAGGATTCAGAGGCAAAAATGCTATTTTTAAACCATTTTAGATGCATATTTAAATGTATCATAGGCAAAACAAGGCCTTTTAACTCATTCATCGTGGGTAGAATCATTAGAAGGTCTTTTAACGTGGTGTGAAGCGTTTGTAGTGGAATTCAACTGATTTGTCGGATCCAAGAGCCGGAAACTATTAATGCTCGCTGAATTGTACACTGGAACTCGCCTGACAGTTAATACTTCGTTTTCATTAGGGCATAGGTGAGAATTCTAGCATTTCTTCTGAAGCCAAAATGGATTTAAAGGTCTTTTCAAAAGCATATTCTTGATAATCGCAACCCCTATATTAAGCTATTTTTTTAAACCTCAATATCAGATCGTATGAGAATCTTGGCTCCAAATGCATAGAAAATTTACCTTCGGGCAACAAATGTTTGGAGTTTGGTAAAAAGAGCATAAAACTATTCCATCCTAAATAGATTATCCTCATACTCAAATTGGCTTCGAACTTGAGGGCAGATTAAAGGGGGGACATAATAGATATAACTAAGCCCCAGTAATAATTGTTTGGATTACATAAGAAATATTTCCCATCTACATATAATGGCTGTTTTATTTTATTTGTATTTAAAATGTTAATCCAAGTTGAAGTATTAAAACGAAGTAGTATGCCTAGAAACACTGTCGAAGTTGGGTCAAACAGTTCTACACCTATGGGTTTGATACAAAAGCTTCAAGTGCATAATTTCACTATATTTAGCTTTAAGAATCAAAAAGCAGACATAAGAAGTAATGCTACATTTTGGGGTTTCTCATTTTCTCAGATGTATCGGTAATTTTGGCTGATAGCCAAGTTAAGGTATACACTACAGAAATACAAAGCCAAGTTAATTAACTTTTGAGACGATGCAGAGGGTATCGTGTCACTATATTTGGTGTTGAAGGAAATATGAGTGCAAGAGATGACAAAAGCTACTTCATCAAAAGCTGACGGATTTCTTTGGATTCACAGATTTTGTAGATACGAAATACAACCAGGTTTCGATGAATAGCCTGACATAACATTGTTAGCGTGACAACCATTTAGCTTGAAGATGCTGGAAGAAGAGTTTGATTGGCAAGTCAATTTCCTTTGATCTTGAATGATTCCCTTTGTTCGGTCCTCTAATTTTACTGTGACATTCAGTGTGATGCCATCCAAGAGACCTCCTTTTTTGAGGGTTAAAATTGAATGTTGGTTTGAGAATAGAAGTGATCCATAGACTATACCTCGATTTTGAGTAATCCTTACTTATGTTCTTCTGTCGTGTGAAAGGCATTAACGAAGACAACAGCAATTCTTTACAAAGTGCGTATTCATCCTTTGGAGAAACTCACCAGGCTCTAATTAAAAAATTGTGGCCAAATGCGATCCCAAGTAATGCTCTTTGATGAGATACCCATTGATTTGGCTGCCGCATCTTTGAGGGAAATGTGGCTGAAATGTATGGAGTGTGGTCCTGCGACATTACTACATGTTGGAGCACAAGTGGAGGAGCTTCTTAGGTTGGCCTGACCGGAAGCTAAATGAAGCCTTGGAATTGTGACTGCAAATTTGTCTTCGTATATTGGGAACTTATCGAAAAGCATGATGTCCTGTTCTGAGGATGTCCATCAAACGACGGACGTAAACTCGGTAAGGATTCATTGGGGTTGCAACGTGGTGTGTAAAAGACCTATTCGCACAAACTTACAATCACGGCTCCAAGGTGATCCCCCTTAAGCTTCTGGTGAGCTCAACTTGCGAATTCCTTCCATTCACCTCTCCAAACGAAATGAAAAGTATCCCAACATCAATCTATTAAGAGAGTCTTCGAAACCCAGTTTTTATACATTACTACGTGTGCTGGCATAAATTAACCCATGCGTCATTCGTATGTGGGAGTCTTAATCAGACCTAAATCCCACCCAGAAGTCAGAGATAATTCCAGCTCATTTTCATATATTCCTTCCCTCTGATCAAGATTCTTTTAAATTTGTGTATTTATTTTTCCTTTTCAAACTTCCGCTGTATCGTGCAAAAAATTGTCTCAGCTCCATATCTAAATGTACGGCGGGTACCTTTGCCGTCAGATAGCCAATTATCTATGAGTAGATATGTCTCCATCGCACGATTGAAGTTATTATTGACGCTTGGAAACATATAATAATATACATTTCATATAAATTCATCGGATTCATTTGTCATTTTTTACACGCGTGTTTATTTCCCTTCCGTCCTTATACACTCCTGCTTCCCCTGGGCTTGTGACAACGTCACGAAAAAAAGCTGATGGGCGCACTCGAAGTAATGTGGCCCTATAAAAGCTCAAATAATTAAGTAGGAAGAAGATTGACATCGGCGTGTCTTTAGCGTCTAAAGCGGTGAATGAGAAGGCCTTGTAAATTGGCTGAGCTTTCATCCAACATGAGGCAAGCATCACCGAAGCATAAAACCATGAATTATAGTAAATTATGGTATCCTGCCGATGATGTCTGCTATTTGACAAACTTTCATTCGTAATATCCAAATTATCCTGCCATGTAGGATGGTACTTAAATATTTAATAGTTTCAGAGTTTAACACCTAGTCTTCTTGACTTCAGACTTTCGCTAGAATTAATTTTAGCCTTGGCGATGTTTGTCATATGACGAATGAAAGCTCAGCCCGTTTTCACTGGAAACTAGAGAAGTTGTCTTGTACACTACGTCAACTTGAACATCGTGTTAGAGCCAAACGGCTGTAGAACGAGAATCCGTGTTCATGCTTTCCTAGCATGCAATTTGGTATCCAAGTGTTGCACTTGTATTAGGTATTTTCAAAATTCAATGGCATATAACTTAAGGTGGTGGGCCTTTACTATGGTCACCATCTCATTTTGCACCATAGAAATAGTAAGACCATGTTTTCGTAACTTGGTCGAATTGTCAAGTCTTGCCAAGTCCATGGCCCAACGCTGAAAATAATCATGACTACAATAACAGAGGAGCTCGGACAAGGTTCGCTCATCTAAGCAGTTCTAGCAACATAGCCAAGGTTCAAAAACGAGGACAACCACGTCTTAGTGTCATCTCTTTTCAGTTCATCGCAAACAGACTATACTCTAGAGTAACTTTACTAGTTGGGTCGAGTTACATCCCCATCCGCTCTTCAACTTTTACCAGCTTCCCCAGCCTTCATAACTGTTATGTGGATTCGTGATCAGGTTGTCAACAGTTTATCATGTCTACTTCGGTCATGACATGCAGTTTCATAACCCTAGCCTTTGAAGCCAAAAATTAATTAATTTGTATTGCTTTTACTCAATTTTTCCTATAATGTCATTTGGTATTCAAGTATTCGGTAATTTCGAAGCTTAATGTCATGTCTGCTTACCGTGAAATGCTGAGCGGCAGTTGTCGAATTCATCTGAAACCGGCCGCACTTGCCTCAAACCGCCATCCCCCCGGACCGAGTAGGCATGCTCTGACGTATCCATTAGTCGCCTGGGCTGTTCTCCCAATGCCGTCGATGTGGCTGTTTCCGATGTTGCTGATATGCTTTTCGTCACGGCAACGGCAGCTGTTACCTCTGTTCTGCTAGTTGGTGGGTTTCCCGTCAGACTCTGGGTCAAATGGCCGGCACACGTCGACAATTGTGCCGCCTCTTGTCTCAACTGGACTAAATACTGTCCGAGTAGCCCTCGGATGTCAGCCGGCAATTGCTGCATAAAATGCACGTTACTGGCCAGACCCTCGTAGAGGCCTAGCAGCTGGACTGGATCGTTCCAGTCAATCAACTGCTCTGTCGGCAGAGACGGTTCGGAACGTTCAGAGCCCTGGAGCCCGATCGACTTTGACACCGACGGCATTTGTGCTGCCGGCTGTTGCGGTTGCAGCAAGAGATGCTGCAAATTCGACTGAAACAAAGTGTCTCCTGCGTCCGTCCCAGCGACGCCGGCGGCTGGCGCGGAGTTACTGAATCGGGCCATGGCGGCCGCCGCAACTGCCCCAGCAACCGCCGCCAATGTCGTCAACTGTTCCGGATCCATCATGGCAGGAGCATCCGCCCTGGCAGTTGTCGCCTCGATCGGCAGTTGTTGCAGTGGCCTACTCTGTTGCAATTGTTGTTGGTGTTGGTTCAGCAGCA